CCTCAGCGCCAGCCCAGGCCGACGGTCACCCCTCTCCCGTTGAGGGGAAGGGCCTGGTGCCCCTGCGGCCCCCAGACGCCTTGGTGTGGCCGCTGGGGATCCCCAGCGCCCAGGGCAGGGGCAGGGCTGACACACAGGAATCGAAACCAGGGCTAGAGGCTCAAGGGGGGCCGGCGGGGCGGAGCTCAGCCCCGGACAGCCCGTGGCCGGCCAGGTGCCGCTCGGGCCCCGCGCACGCGCAGAGACCCGGCTCCAGAACTGCACCCCGGTGTTTCACAAGCAGGCAACGACTCGCTGGGGCCACGGGGTGCTGCCTCACCCAGACCTCGGCAGTGAGGGCCACCGCCGGCCACCAGGCGCCGGGCCAGCACCGACTGGTGTGACAGTCCCCACGGCCCCCCAGGGGCCACGGCCCTGACCGAGGCTGGGCGACACCAGCAACCCCCTAGGGAGACCCGGCTGGGGCTGGCCTGGCCGGCCCGGCCCGTTCTCCGGAGTCCCAGCCCCGCCCACCCTGGCTTATAGCGACTCGGCGAGCCCCACCCACAAGTCTGATTGGACCGTTTTTCAAGCCTGTGGCTGATTGGACTAGTTAGCACCAATCAGTTCGCAGCGTGTGCCTGATTGGTCCATCCCAAGATCCAGGAAGGGCACGGCTGGATAAAAGGGCTCTGAGGCCACCTGCCTCACCGATGGAGGCCCAGGGTGGTGTGTGTCCCTCTGGGCTGCCCTGGGGTGGCGGGGCCGGGGCTGCGCCCAGGAGAGCAGCTTCATTTCCAGTTTCTGGGGCACCTCTTCCTGTCCCCCGCCCTTTTCTGTTTAAGACACGGAGCCCAGAGGGCCGGGGCAGGTCGGACCAGCCCCGCACCTAGGCCCTGCGGACCCAGCCCCCGCAGGCCACCACGAGGGCCCTCCCCGCCCGCCCAGTCCACGGCCATGCTGGGGTGTCTGTGGCGTGGTGATGTCTGTTCCTCTGCAGCCTACGTGAGGGGTCTGCAGGATCTGCCGTTCCACTTCTGGCTTGGCCATGTTACCCCACCCACTTGGAACTTGTCAGAGTGACAAGATTCATCTTTATTTTTGCACAAAGATTTATTTATGCATACAGAACTGGGGGGTACAGGCCAGAGGTGTGGGGGTAAGAGGATGCACCAGGGACCAAGTGGGGAGCAGAACAGGCAGGTGGACTGAGATACACTGCTGAGGGGGCAGCGGGGGACAGGGGAGGTCTGCTGTGCCCTGGGTCCCTCCCTGGCCCGGATCGAACGCGCCTGCGGCGGGCTTCCCAGCGTTGCGCCCTCACCCTGCGCCAGGGGCCGAGCGTCCTCCTTGACGGCCAGTAGTAGACCATTCTGAGCCGCACCCCTCTTCCTGGCCCATGTTGGTGGGGCACAGCAGGCTGTTGCGAAGGCCGCATGGGTGCCCGGGCGCTGCTCCCTTGTTGACTCCTGCTTTGCACCCCCCCAGGGCAGGTCTGTCTAATGTTTTGGGAGGCCAAGGGGCGGGGCCCAGCCTCATTCCTGGGCTCCCTTCTGGGGCGGGGTCTCGAGGCACCAGTGGGGGCGCCGCCCCCGGGCAGCTGCCCGTCCTTTACCGGCGCCTCCGGGCGAGTCTTGGCCGGCCGTGGGCAGACAGCCCTCCCTCCCTCCCCAGCGGTTCGCTCTCGTGGGCGCCGGTGCTGGAGACCCTCAGGCGGCTCCTCCCGGCGGGAGCATGGGCTCCTCTCCCTGGCTTCGAGGTTTCGGGCCTCTCGGCCATAACTTGACCCCACTGGGAGTCGATTTTGGTGTTGGGTGTGAGGGGCCTGGCCCGCGGTGTCCCCATACGCCCGGTCAGTAGCCCATGGCCATGCCAGGTCCGAGTCGGGGAACCCCTGGGCCCCTCTGGCCTTGCATCTGGGGTGGCCTTCACCCCCAAGCCAGACCCGTGCCTCCTTGGGCTCAGCCCCACTCTGGGTCAGGGTCAGCCCTCTCAGGTGACCCCTTAGCCCGGCTCCCCCAGGACTGTCTGCTGTGTGCCCATGGGCTGGGGTGCTGTGGGGTGCCGTCCCTGAGCCCTGCCTGAGGCGCCGGGTGTCCCATCTGCCTTTGCCATCTGGCCGCCGCGCATGGCCAGGCCTGGGGGTGCACTGTCTTGGGGTCCTGTGCATAGAAGTCTCCCCAAAAGCGCTCCCACAGTCTCCTGGGGGACGAACACCCCAGGAAAGAAGTGCCATCGAGAAGCCAACAAGTCTGGCGGGGCGGCCCCAGCAGAGGTCACGGGTGCCCGTGGGGTCAGGGCTGGGGGTCAGCTGGGCTGAGTGAGGGGGAGCAGAGTCAAGTGCCCATGTGACATGGGGCAGTGCCCGGGCCTGTGTGGGCGGGGCGCCTGCCCCGCATGCCCAGGGCCCCAGGGTGCTGGGGAGTGGGCACTGCCCTCCTTGGGGGCCTGACTTGGGTTATATTCCTGGAAATGCTGGTGTTTTCACCTTCAAATCTGAAATAAAGGTTTTGATCCCGAGCTTGGCGTTTTGCTTTAGGGGAGGAGCCCCTGGAAGGCCCCGAAGGTGGCCTGGCCTGGAGATGACCTTTTCAGCGGGGTCCAGCGCCAGGTCCCGGCCCACCGTCCCGGCCGTGTCGGCAGGGTTCTGGGCGGGGTCCGAGCTGACCGCTTGGTCTTGCATCTGGTGTCTGAGACTGGTAGCCCGGGGCGTGGTGAGCTTCCTCCGAGCCGTGGGCTCAGCAGCCGGACGATCGGGCAGTCAGTGTCGCCTCCTCGCCGACCTCTGGCCTCAGCCCTGTCCTGGGCGCCCCCCACGCGCAGGGAGGGACTCTGAGGCCCGGGCAAGTTGGGGCAGCCAGGCAGCTGCGGAGACTTCGGAGAGTCAGGGCCGGTGCGGGACGCCAGGGGCTGAGGGCAGTGGGCGGGCGAGGCTGGGAGGGCGCGCCCACGGACGCCCTACCGGCCCGCGCCTCCCGGCCTCGGGGCAGCGCCCGGCTCCCTGCTCGGGGCAACCCCGTCTGCCCTTCCTCCAGAACTCTGGTTCCTCCCCGCTCCCGGGCGACCCTGTCAGCCGAGCCCCTTCTGCGGCTTCGCGGGACAGAGCCCGAGGCGGTTCCAGCTCCGTGAGCGGCGCGGGGCACCATCGCCACCTCCGCCCCGGCCTGTGTGACCTGGACCCCGCGGGCGGCTGGTGTCCAGCGCCTTGCCTGGGGGTTGTGATGCTGACGCGTGTCCCCTCCCCCCAGATGCCGAACTGACTGTCCGTGAAGCCAGCAGCTCCGACGGCCGTGGGGAGAGGGTCGAGCTCTTCGCCCACGTGGACGAGGGTCTCCTGGGAGGAGAAGCCAGCTACCTAGGCCCGGCGCTGGCCCCAGAGAAGGACGAGGCGCTGCACCAGGCCTCCGCCGTGGCCAGCCTGAGGGCGGCGCTCATGAGCAAGAACAGCCTGCTGTCGCTGAAGGCAGACGCGCTGGGGGAGGACAACCCCCTGCTGCTGGAGTACCTGCCCAAGGGCGCCCACTCGCTGTCCCGTAAGTGCGGCCACCCCGCTCCCGCCGTGCGCCCGGTTGCCCCAGGAGCTGAGCGGGTGCGGGCCGGCGGGCTGGCGGCAGAGGCCAGGACAGGAGGTCTGGGGGTTCGCTGCTGAGGGCGTGGGCGGGGCTGGGAGCTGGGCGTGGGCGGAGCTGGGTGTGGGCGGGGCCGGGAGCTGGGGTGTGGGCGGGGCTCAGGCAGGGGCGGGGCGCGGCCCCCCCAGCTCTGTGCTGGGCTGCGGGAGGCGCGGGGCTGCGGCCTCTGTGCCTACCTGTGCCTGCGGGTCAGCACAGAGCCACGCTCTGGAGCGGCCAGGGTCAAGTCCGTGCCGCTGGCCACGTGTGCGCTTTCGAGAGCCGGTAGCCGCGGCAGAGACCCCGCCCTGAGCGTGCCGGCTGCGCCCCGGCCAGCGCCAGGGTCCCTGGGGCCTCCACAGGTGCGGCCAGCTGGGCACTGTGTGCCCAGGGGCCGAGGGACGCGGGTGAACGCGACGTTTCCTGCGTCTCCCGGACGGAATAAGGGAGAAGAGGCCGCTGCGACTCCGGGCCTGGCCCCGCCTGGCCCCTCAGGCGGCATTTCCGCGCCTAAACGCCGTTTCTGTGCGATGGCCGACGCGGGCAAAAGGCGCAGTGGCCCCACGGGGTGTCTCCGTTACTGCGTGGCCTCCGGGCTGCCCCAGACCCCGCCAGGCCGCGCCGGCCGAACACGCGGGAGCGCGAGTGGG